CTTGCCAGTACTGACTTTGATCATATAAATTATTGCCTTAATTACGACCTGAGTAATGTGTACGAATGGCTGAGTGCTAACAAGCTTACCCTAAATATGACAAAACTGAGTTTATGCTTATTGCATCAAGGCAGAAGTTATCACAATTTACGGAAAGTCCTTCTCTTACTATAAACGAAATCGCAATAGAACAAGTAACCTCCGCTAAGTCCCTTGGAGTTTATGTCGATCAAAATATCAATTGGGAGTGTCATATTGAAAACATCTCTAAGAAGATAGCTTGTGCCATTGGTGCAATTAAACGAATTCGGCACCTCACTCCATTTAATGTTCTAATTAAAGTTTATAATAGCCTTGTTCAACCACATTTTGATTATTGTAATGTAGTGTGGGGAAACTGTAACAAGGGCCTTTCTGAAAAACTGCAAAGGCTTCAAAATCAGGCAGCTCGCATCCTAATGTCTGCGAGCTATGATAGTAATTTAGATGATTTGTTCCGGGCACTAGGGTGGCGAAGACTCTACTATCAAAGATTAGAACAAAAATCTATCTTAATGTATAAAACTTTACATGGTATGACACCAGATTATCTGAGATCAAGATTTGTATATCGTGACAATATAAGTGCTTATCGTTTAAGGAATACGGAAAACAAATTAGTTCTTCCACAACCTCGAACTAATTATCTTAAGAGAGTTTTTTTTGTACAGCGGAGCTCACTTGTGGAACGACTTACCCTTAGAGCTAAGACAAGCGTCTTCACTGACCGATTTCAAATCTAAATTAAGTCGCCACAGTTTAAAGTGATATCTTAATTTTAAGTAAATTTTAGACACGGCCTCCATGAAAAGCAGATTTTCTATTTGTTTCTTTTATTTGAATTGTTATTATTAGATTTTATTATAGTTAGGAAGATAGATATACCTTTATAGATAATTAACAACTGATGGAAATACCGTGTATAAATAAAGTTATCCTTTTTCCTAAAATCTGGTCTTTCCTACGGCACAAAAACTAAATTCGGATGACACGCTCCAACGAGACACAAGGGGATTTAATGCGGCCTTTTCTCGTTGAATTCCTTAATTTTCTAACCAAATCGAACGGACTTGAAAAGACTCACCGAGAGCGTATATTTGTTGTAGAACTGAATATATTCAGAAAATATATATTATATATATATTATATATTTTTTTGCTGCGATGGCGTGTGAAAATCTGATCTTTCCTACACAAAAACTAAATTCGGATGATACACTCCAACGAGACACAAGGGGATTTAATTCGGCCTTTTCTCGTTGAATTCCTTAAGTTTCTGTTGTGTAATTTTTGACGGCGCAAATGTCCAAATTGAACGGACTTGAAAAGACTCACCGAGAGCGTATATTTGTTGTAGAACTGAAATTAAAACTTCGCTCGCCTTTTCACTACGAACAAATTCTTTGAGAAAATTCAGATATGAAATGAATGAAAATTCCATCGATTAGTTCAACTGTAGCCAAATATCTTACGTTTTAACTTTCTCGGTACTTTTTGTGAACGATTAGAATTAATTGCAGACGGTTTTTAGGCCACCTGTCAACCAACGTAATGACACTATTGCTTGTACAAAACAGTAATTCTGAAACGAAAATTTTTCAGTCAACCAAAGTGACTTGAGAGAGAGAAAAGAGAGGATTAATAAGTTATTTATCGGCTTGAGGTAGTGACCGACATCTTTACTTAAAATTACTGCCCAGCCGGTAAAACGAGATATATTTATGAAAAATGGCAACGAATGAAGAGATGTACTCGGTGACTCACGAAAGCGTTACCGTTGCCCGTGGGCAAAGAGAGGAAAATACTGACCGAGTAAAGAGCCAATCAGATTAGAGGATTCGTTACCGTGCCCTCTATTGTGTTTATATGCTAAACAAAAGTAAGACATGGTTGCTTGTAGATATGGATTTTCTATGCTCGTGTTCACCTCATCTCACTCGTTCGCTGCGCTCACTCGTTAGCTATCGAGTAAAACACTCGAAGAGAAATTTCATATATAATATATATATATATATATATATATATATATATATATATATATTTACGCGCGCCCATGTATTTTTCTCCATTTAAAGAGAGTTTAAATCTAAAAATAAATGAATCTCATTTATCGTTTGGTATTAAACTGTTAAAGTATGATGGATGGTCTTATCATAGGATCTGATCACCCACGAACTTATTGTAAAAGATCGCAACACCACTCCAACATGATTAACAGTATCCCCTTAAAACACCCCACAGTGGCATTCAACCAATGCAATCGAAATTTAGTATGTACGTGTAGTTTAATGGTTCATCCAGGGTCCTAAAAGCTATAGGTATCTTTAAGAGCGTTGAAATAACGAAATCTGGAGCGACATTTGACTCTCAATTTTGCGTTGGTAATAGTTATAGTGCGTCTGATGCCACCTCGTGAGAGACGCAAACGATCTACGAGGGTAATATTTATGTTTCTTTATTACGATTTTAATAAGAAGATAATGAAAAAAGGTGGTGTCACCGCCTTTACCTCACTAATCTCACAATTATCAAAATTCGGCTGGAATAGTGTGTATATGAAAGGGAAGTGTATCAGATAAGTCTTGAGGATTAGTACATTCAGTTCTTTTTTGTTATCGAAATATTTTGGAGGTAGGAGACCTCTATTCTTAAAAGTGATCCATGCAAACTGATTCTTCCCTTTTTTATTTATTTCAATGGCTAGTTTGAATAATCAGTCAGCTTTCTTTTATGTCTTTAACTTATTTCTTATTGAGTCTGCTTTTTTCTTCTATTTTGATTATATTCGCGAGAATGTCGTCTTCGATAGCAGAGTCGTTGTTAAACAATAATAGAAAACATATATTATTTAGTTGATTTGGTATAAATGTGCTCATGTTTGTATTTCAATTTTATCCAGGAACACCTGTCATTTTTGTTTCCATTTGTTACTAATTCATTATATTTTCATGTTTTACCTTCATTTATACCAGCACGTTTACGTTATTCTTGTTTTCATGGGATTTTTACTTCGTTTGAACAAATATACCTTCCAAATATACTCTCTACTGGACGCGAATTCGCAATTCAGTATCGGGCAGAAAATTGATTACAATAGGGCTTTTAATATCTACTTCATCATTTTGCAAGACTGTTATGATTAATTTTCGTGTCGAAGTAATACTGGTTCAACACGATCTTGGCGCTTTTATTAATTATAATCGACTTTCCATAAAGCAAGCAAGCCGTGAAAAGTTCTTAACAGCATGTTTAACTCATTGGCCAATAACAGGTGGCAGAGGCCCTTCAGTGGTAAACATCTAATTGTCTCGGGGAAAGCTCTCGGTTTTTCCTTTTTACATGAATAATGAATGGTTAAAGTTTTTTTTAAGCAGGCCATAAAGAAAGCTGCAAGAGTTATATTACCGCTAATGTACTGAAACAGAGTTAATTTCGAAGCGTTCACTTCATTTTCACTCAATCATTTTGGAGTATCGTCGTTTTTCCTTCTCCCAGCTTTCATGGTTGCTCTGGTAGTATGGAGGAAGGAGTGATTCAACCTAATTTTTGCTAGTTGAAGACTACATAAGTGAAGCCTAGGTGAAGATTTTTGACCGAGAGGAACACATCATGCCTTTGATAATCTCCAAATTGGTCACTTTGGTAAGTAGAGACGGATTTCACCCTTTTTCCTTTATTACTGACAAGTATACCCCAAATGTATAGATTAAGAAAATCATTTTTGCTACATGAACATTCTTCTATATTTTCCTTATCAATTTAGGTGTTGATTTCTACCTTCTCGAAGATCTCCGTGACTGGAGGATCGTTATGTTCAGGTATTGTTTTGTTCAACATGAAAATTTTAATCGCTGAGGAATTTTTAAATGCTTCTGCTATGAAATCCTCCTCGAAAATTTCATGTAATCAACTGAAAAAAAAAGACAAATAGATTTTAAAAAATTGAAAACAAAGTTTAATGTAGCCTGTATTTTGAGGGATGTTAGGTGGATCATTGACTAAATGGATTTTAAGCCTAAAATCCACGCACCATAACGGAAAACTGATAATTGCTCGCAGCCCAAACAAAACTGGGATCTTCCTATCAACAATTGCCTCCTGGAGTTTGTCGTTCTCGTTTATCATTCTTGACTTATTAAAAGATCCCAGACGGCGAGTCTTCTGTCGTGAAATAATCCGTTGATATGGATTTCTTTTGGCAAAAAAAAAACAAAAAAACATTTTCTAGAGTAATAATTAAACAAAATTTCCCCTACGCCACAATTTAAGAACAGAATGACCTTAAGTATTTGCAATTTCGTTAGTCCTAGAGTTGGTTTCACTATGAAATATTAGTTTTTTTTTTAATTTTCTCGTATGTTCAGGGTCTCATCCAAATTACCAACTTGCCAGAAGAGTCTTTGGTGTTATTGAGGGTTGAGGATTAACTCATTCAGTGGCGTGCTTTTAATTAGATATGAAAAGGAAGTTCGGAGACTACAGCAGTGGCGTCAGAGTTGCTCGAGGTGTAGCCGAGATTCGCTTTCAAACAGACCTTCAGACTTTTCGAATTTAAGCTCTTCCACAGACCTTCAGACTTTTCGGATTTAAGTTCTTCCACCGATTTACAGAGAACTGTATAGGGAGGTGTGACATGCACTGCAATCCGGGTCGTCATTATGTCCCAACGCTTGTAATAACGCTTTGCAAAAATATCCGTAAATGAGTGTTTACCCTAAGGACCCAAGCTTCCACTGTTAATGTCGAAAGGAAATGCAGCTTTTCCGAATTCCTCCGGGATCCTAATGAGCACTGAATTCAGCCGATTCTTTGCCCTAAGTGTCTCTGGGATCGTCTCGAATATTGTGAACTAACGAATTCGTCTTATTTAAATACTTACCGTTACTTTGAACCTTGTCCCCTTGGCAAGGAATAAGGAATGGGATCGAAGTCCGCTTTTTCAAAATTGCCTGTTTTGTAGATCATGACTTCAGTCTTGAATTTCCAAGCCGTCAGAGGTCTCAATCAGCACATTCAGCTGTCAGGATAAATGGAGACAAAGACATCGATGCTCTCACGATATGCTTATGGTTGAAATCGTCCTTGGAATCAGATTTTGGACTTCTACGCTATTTTGATGAAGCAGGGTCAGATGTATATTTTGCCTTGAGGCTGGGTTCTGGCGGGCAGATATGGCTTTCGATCCACGGTGAAGACAGGTAATAAACGTAAATGTGTTTGCCACCTATACCTTGTCACATTATTATTTTTTTAATTTCTTTTTTTCATCATTCTACTCTCCGATTTAATCTTTATTTACATTGGGTAATACTCGTGTGTAAGTGCATTAGCCCTGGCTATTATTGGAAATTCCCTTGGACCTATGTCAGTTTCCGTGGCAATAGTCACTGTCTGGCTCTTTATTTTCATCTTTTTTATCATATATTTCTTGGGGGAATGTTTGGTCTCCATCTTTAAAAACAAATTAGCTCGTCATGGTTCAGACAAGGGTGCTCTAGTCAAAGTAAACTTGTCTGTGTTGATGTCGCTTGTGGCAGAATTGTCAGTAATTGTCAGTATTGTAGTATTGTCATGAATTTTATACACATATATTGTGTTATTGGAGAAAACGTGTTTTCAAGACTCAAAAGTTTATGAGAGGGCCCAATTCATATGCTGTTTTACCAACGCACTAATAATCGATTTTATAGTAAAATGCTATAGCTGAAATGCTTCCTGTAAACGGACTACAATTATTTCTCAAATTAAAATACAGGAATTAACTCGATAAAAAATGGTTTGCCCTAAGAGTGATATAAAAATGGCTACAAAGGTATACAGATGTCTCACAAAAAGAGTATCTCCCTAACCAATAAATACATTTTTTTTTTAATATCTCAGTCATATCTAGTTAGGTATAGCAAAGGTCGTAGTGCAATTTTCTCCAACGATTGAAATTCTAACCTTTTCTTTTTTTTCCTGTCTTATGTTCATAATGTGAAGCAGAGGAAAATTGACAATAAGCTGGTCTAGAAAAATTTGAATTAAAGACTCATTTACTTTCCTGAAATGATTTTTTCTCGCTCAAAAGAGAACTAGATATCATGCCTCAAATCCAGAACGGCAGATGGCATGGACTATGTGTCACGTGGAACAAAGATGGTGGCCATTTTCTGATTTACTACGACGGTCGGTTAATTAGAAGTGAAAGTGGTTTAAAATCCGGAAAATCATTTCCCTCGAATAATACCTTTACTTTGGGAATCGGAGCCGAGGAAAAGTTTAACTACACTGGCATGTTAGGGCATGTAAATATATGGTCACGCGTTTTGGAGCACCCTCTCCTTTCAGCTCTGTCTTCCAAGTGTGGGGTCGAACGCGGAGGGCTTGTTTCTTGGCCTCGGTTCCAGGAGGATCTTCGTGGTGTTAATGTGGGAGAATCCTGTTCTTTTCATGGTGAGGGCAAACATAGTTAATAGCTTCTGCTTAGGGAGCACTTGATTTAACGTAAGGGTAGAGCTGGTGACTTGAGTTATTTCCACCGACTTCCCTTGCATAGTGATGTCCTCCTCCTAAGCGAAAATGTCAATGTATCTGTGACAGATCTTGACAGAAATATAAACAATATACTTCACTAACCCAAAACGCTTGCACGATAAATGTGTGATCTTCATGAAAAGAATTCAAGTTATAAAGAGATGTTACTCGATTTGTCACTAACGTCTTTACGAGAATCGGTCCCATTCTTTCCGATTCCGTGCTTTGTGTTTATTAAATTTGTTAGCTTGTCATTAAAAGATTTAACAGCTCCTTTGCTCTATTTTAGAATTTAATATAACGCATGACGTGAAGCACTGGAAGCTTGATGGAGAGGATCAAGATCTGAAGTAGGTTTTCTAATATATGCGAGCTTGACGTTATCCTGTCGACGTTGTAGTCGTAGCTATTGACACCGCAACAATCTTTATCATTATAATAATAATCGCCATCATCTTCCTCATAATTTTCATTATTACCATGATCATTATCATTATCATTATCAAATCATCTTCGCCATCATCTTTAAACGCGATGTCATTGTCCTCTCTATTTCCCTCTTCTTCCAGATCCTCTTTCGCCTTTGGCTGCCTGTTTTCCAGTCCTTCCTCCTTGCGTAACCTTACTCTATCTAACTTATAAACGTCATTTACAAATACTCCTCTTTATCCTCGTTTTCTTTCGTATCCTTCCCTTTGCCATCGGCGGTTATTTTGTTTGGTTAATTTTTTTCAATTTGCTATCTCGCAAAACTAAATGTTCGAGGGGACATCTACATCACCAAACTGGCACTTTGGTGTTAATGCAGAGTGAATATTTCTTGTATTTATAATCTGTATTTTTCTTATCCACCAAGGAAGTTTACATCTTAACCAATTTTTATAGTGCTGATTAGTTTTATGTTTCTCTATAGCCCGCAGTATAGCACTGTATTCTTGGAAGGTCGCCTTGATGGCCACAAAGCTGTTTATCTTGATCAAACAAAGGCCTACATTAAAGCCCCACCCATTTCCTTTGGCATGGCGTTCACCATTACATGCTGGGTAAAACTTCTTTATTCCGCCCCGATCTACAGACCAATTCTCAGTGTCGAAACAAACAGCACAGATAAATTTTCCATCGGTTTTAATGCTGATAATCAGCTACTGCTCGACAGTTGGTCCCAGGGAGATTACAACATCACGAAAAGCTATGCCTTACTTCCAGCGAACGAGTGGATCCACGTGACTGTAACCTGCAACCAAGATAGGGTGTTGTCGTTTTTTGTCAACGGAATGAAGAATATATCTGTAGCTGACGTATGGCAGGGTCCAAGAAGCGGCGTGTTCGAAATAGGCAGATACAAAAATATTAGTGAAGACAAGCATCGGTACTTTCATGGTTTTCTCAGTGATCTCTTTGTTTTTTCGAGAGCTTTGAATGCAGATGAAATCGGACGATTGATGGGTAAGTGAAACCTGTTTGAATGTTGTCGAGAAAAATACCTCCAGGGCAAACGAACGGCACTTTATAATCCGATTACATTAAGTAGAGTACAAACAACGTGCGAATCGGGTACAAATATCACACAATACTTGGACAGTTGGCCATTTTGCACTTTAAAAGAAATATGTTTGACTGGTCGGTTGAGAGCGCTGCGCTCCTCTATCAGCTTCGATTTTCCTGTCTTATAGTAAGTTCACATAAGCAGTTGGATAATAGGTTATGAGACGTTTTGGTTTCTAGTATTGCTGAGTATTTTTTCTCGTTGCTTGTATTTTTACGCTGACTCCCTAGCTACAAATTAAACTATGGCGATATTACACAATAAGTCATAGGAACGTTTATTGATCTATTTATGCGCGAGCGACTAGGAATATTGCAGCTCCCCCAGGATGGGATACCAGTTACCTGCAGGTTTCCTCAGAATTTCGTCAGACTTCTAAGACAGTTTGCCACCACCAATTCATACTCCCAAGTAAAGACAGGCATTGTGAGAGTTAGGACTCTTCATGCATAAATTATGCTTACGGTAATTATTTTTATGTGCAGCAGATGAAGTGAGTAATAACTTTTATTCTTTCATACTCTCTTCAAGGCTATTCGAATCCGTGTACTTTCTCGGAGTGGAGCTCTGATGCTTTGACACCGCAACAAACACCAAAAGAGAAATTTCGTCACAAATATTGCCCAGTTATTGGGGAATGTAAAGAAGTGCGAAAGTGGAAACCAGGTTTGTAAGAATAGAACCTACTCTATTTTTTCATTTTTTTTTTATTGACCCATGCATAGGATAAATTAACAGAAAACTAAGGGTACCTGAACGTGCTAGAAATAATTTCAAGCATTTGGAGCTGTTGTTTTATTTACGTGTCACAAATTAACGCTAATACGATGATTTATTGTTCGCAATAGTGTCGCTATAGTGTCGGCCGACTGGCCGACTGGCCAACTGGTCAGCCCAACAAACTGTCCACCATACTGAAAAACTAGCTGACTGACTGACTAATGGACAGTTTGACTAGCTGGTAGACCGACTAACTTTACGAAAAAAGGAGCTGATCGATCCATTGAATATTTACCTGTTAATATACGTCGGTCAGGAGGTAGATCGGGGCGCATTTGTCACGCTTGATTTGATTTTTTTTTTTTTATTGTTGTTTTATACACAGCTGACTGTCGAGAAGTACTGTTGTCGGGAAATAAGACCAGTGCTAAGTACGCGATAAGCCCTTTAAACAACCATGAAGAATTCGAAGTTTTCTGTGACCAGGAAACGCAAGGTGGTGGCTGGACAGTCGTTCAACAAAGAATTAATGGGTCACTGAGCTTCAATAGAACATGGGATGAATACAAAGCTGGTTTTGGAACGGTAGGCGGCCAATCAGAAATGTGGCTAGGTAACGATATAATTTATGGCTTAACGACCCAGAAAACTGAGCTTTTGATCGAATTGACAGCGTTTGATGGAACTGAAGGATTTGCTTACTACAGCTATTTTCACTTAGCTGGTGAGGATCTTTGGTATAAGCTATCTGTTGGCGGTTTTTCAGGGAACATTCCTGATAAACTAGGATTGCATAACACTTTTAACTTTTCGGTGACTGAATGCGGAGCTGCAACTTCATCTTCGGGTTGGTGGTTCACTCCTTCTTGCGGCGAGGCTCTGTTAAACTCTGAGTATGGACATGAAACTGGTTATTCTATGATGTGGAGTGATTTTCCATACACTGGCGTCCATAAAGGCAAAATAAAGAAGACCACAATGAAAATAAGAAGGAAAGAAGGTAAAGCGTCATTCGAAGTGAGCATTCGTGATATAATTGTCACACTTAACTGTTTCTGTTGTGAAATGAGCTATTTAGCCTCTTTTGGCTAAGATGTTAAATTCCTGGTCGATATTCGATGTAACCACGCCCTCACTCTGGAAACTATTTCATTTTTTTAACAAATCCTTTGGGTATCCTGTTCTTATCACAAACTGAATACCATCAGCGATGCGTCCCCGCTAGCTTATGCAATGGTGAGCCTATTTTAATTCAGTTCATGAATTGTTCGGCCGAACGTACATGCATTTACCGAGAAGTCTATTATTTCTTTCCAGATCATTTTGGAGACTACACTCTGAAGTTCTCAGAGAGGAGAGAAACCTTAGGCATTGTCACCTTTCCAATCATCTTAACAGAGTTCCAAGCCTTTACCTCATGTCTCTGGTTAAAAGTGCGACCTCCAACAGTTCCTAGACAAATGAATCTGCTACGATATGCAGAACAGGATGGAAACTTCAGTATGGACTTAAGACCCGATGGCAAGGAATATAAGATCATTTTATCAATTTGGCCGAGGTAAGGAAAATATTAATTAGAAGTACTAATATAATCCAGTAAAACTTGAGGTGAGAAGCATGTTCGTTCATCTCCTAGACATAAAAAAGGTTCAAATTATTTGGGATTCGGGTGTCAGTGTAATGGGATGCAACTATAGCCAACATGAGATTGATTCATGTTACGTGCCTGCCCCCATCCCGGATTGTAAATGGATAATAGCACACCGTCGCGGAAACCCGTGGAAAGGATTTGAAGGACAAAAGAAGGGAGGGATAGGAGAATAAACTGCTTATCGATATCACTATTATCAACGTATTCGTGATCGAAACTTGGTCGTTACAGTTGACGGTAAATTAAAACTAGGCGTTGGCGAAAAAGTCACACCGAATACAAAGAGGATGATACATGGCTGCATGGAATTCGAGCGCTCACGAGTAAGAAAAGCTACAGCAGGAAGTGTTTACCCATGGACCTCGTTAAACAGCCCAGCCTACTAGAAGTTTCCCATAGCTCAGAAGTAGAGCGTCCGAACTACTAATCGAAGGCCATAGGTTCGTTTCCTATTGGGAACACTCGAAGTTCTTTTTCCCTGAGTATCAGGCCTGTGTCATTCATTTAATACTGAACATCATTCTCTGCTAATGTTTTCTTTACCAAAAATGTATTTTTATCCGAAAAAGTTAAATTCAACCTGAGTAGTGTTCTTAGATTGAAACCCTTCACGCGTTCAGGAATTGTTAAACCGTTATTTATGTGAAAAAGAATATGTTGATAAACCTGGTAAATACGAAAACATTCATGTCTGGGCATGTCAGGATATATATATGTTGCCCAAGACCTCGGTCACAGTTTTTCACCATACGGACCGACCCTTAGCCGGTAAATAACATATTTATTTTTTAAAACTTAACGAGATTCTTTCCGAAAGAACCGAATGATTTAGGGCTGTAAATACGGCAAGATCTTCCATAAACTGAACAATTTTTGAGCGAGTAACTGGTTAAAATAGAGGTGATGCAAATTAAAAGAGATGCCTCACCTGAAACATTTTCGTTTCCGCAACGATAAAGGTGACTTAAAAGGCTTCTTAACAAACTTTGAAACATTATTTTTACAAGTATCTGTCACAATCTGACACCTGTCAATTAGAGAGCGCGTAAGAATAAAAAAAAGCGCAAGAAGATTTGAAAAACAACGGAATTAGTTTGGCAAGGACTGTCATGACAATGTTTTCTTCAAAACAGTCAATGATCTAACGGAGAGTATTATTCACTCTCATCGACAATTAATTCATGTACGAAGATTTACCTCTGTTCATTAGGTAAACGGCGGGGAAGTAATTGTAAGTAAATTCAATTTTTTTTATTTTAAAGTTGAGAGAGTTTGCTCGTTTGTTTACTGCAATGGCGTGTGTAAATCTGGTCTTTGCTCCATAAAAACTAAATTCGAATGATACACTCCAACGAGACACAAGGGGATTTAATGCAGCCTTTTCTCATTGAATTCCTTCAGTTTCTGTTGTCCAATTTACGGTACAAATGTCCAAATTGAACGGACTTGGAAAGACTCACCGAGAGCGTATATTTGTTGTAGAACTGAAATTAAAACTTTGCTTGTCCTTTCACTATGAACAAATTGTTTGAGAAAATTCAGATATTAAATGAATGAAAGTTCCATCTTTTCAGTTTACTGTAACCAAATACCTCACGTTTTAACTTTCTAGGTATTTTTGTGAACAATTAAAATTAATTGCAGACGGTTTATAAGCCGCTTGTCAACCAACGTAATAACGCTATGGCTTACACAAATTCATTCAGAAACCAATATTTTTCTGTCAACCAAAGTGACTTGAGAGAGAGAAAAGAGAGGATTCATTAGTTATTTATCGGCTTGAGGTAGTGGCCGACGTGTTTTCTTAAAAATACTTCCCAGACCAAAACGAGATATATTTATGAAAAATGGTAACGAAAGTTGGGATGTACTCGGCGACTCACGAAAGCGTTACCGTGGCCCGTGGGCAGAGATAGGAAAATACTGACCGGGTAAAGAACCAATCAGATTGCAGGATTTGTTACCGTGCCCTCCAAGAAAAAAATTAAGTTTTTTTTAAAGTTTGCATCACCTCTATTTTAATTACCATTTACTCGCTCAAAAACTGTTCAGTTTATGGAAGATCTTGCCGTATTTACAGCCCTAAATCATTCGGGTTCTTTCGGAAAGAATTTCGTCAAGTTTTAAAAAAATAAATATGTTATTTATTGCTAAGGTCGGTCCGTATGATGAAAAACTGTGACCTCGGTCTTGAAAATGCTGTATTTTCAAGACCTCGGTCACAGTTATTCGCCATACGGACCTCCCAGCCGGCAGATAACATATATTTATTTATCTGTGTGCGTTGAAGAAATCCTGTTTTAGAAACAGGAGAAATTGTGTTATTTTGTCAATATCGTCATATTAAATCTCGATATTTGCAGCACCCAAAGATTTAATACAGAAGTCAAATATCCTTCTTTGGATGGAGGCTGGCATCATGTTTGCACTTCCTGGAATAGCATAGATGGACGAGGTGCAATTTTCATAGACAGTTCTCAAACGTCCTTCCTTGGCATTGGTTACGGGAAAAAGTTCACCGGTGGTGGAAAAGTTTTCATTGGAAATACTCATGTACCGGACCCGCCTCAACTGGAAGGGGAGATCACATACATGAATTTATGGGATAAAGTACTGTCGAATGCTAGCATCGAAAATCTTGCGCTCTCTTGCAGCGCTGAAGCTGGGAACGTTTTACAATGGAGTCTTTTCGCAGCCATGTCGGTAGGAAATGTGCAGGTCGTTCCCTTTTCTGCGTGCAGAGCAAAAGGTATTAATTGTTCCTAAGAGCATTATCGTAGTCTTTTTATGTAACACTTATAAATACGCGCCACTAACGAATCAAATAATTAGACGTTCTTATCTTAGTTCTTTAATAAATCAGAAAACAATCTGCTCCGTTTTACTCTCTGTGGCTTAAAAGCATTCGTACTTAAGAACAGAACCACACAGACGCCTATCCATAGTAAGCTTGTTTCTTCAATACATCTCACCCATGCGAAGTGCACTTTTCATTTTACCTCTTTTCTTAAAATCACAGTGAAAGCATTTAACTCCAGATTCACTTGACACCGAGGATCGCTTTCATTCAGATTCTAGGATTTCTGTTCAGGACTACCCTTACCACTAAGGCGGACAGTCTTAATAATGTGTTTTCATTTCTTCTTTCTTCCTTTCTTCCATTTTTTAGTTAGCCGTTTTCTTTTTTGTTTC